GGAAGTCGAAGGATATGAGGAACAAGAGGGTGGAGCTGGTGAAGGTACAATGGCAACACCGCAAGGGGTCGGAATAGACTTGGGAGCCGGAGGAAGAGATGAAGGAGCACTACCCTGAGCTTTTTCAGGACTCAGCAGCAGACTTCGAGGACGAAGTCTAAAATAAGTGGGAGAGAGTTGTAACACCCGGTTTCAGGTACGTATTTAAATTTAAGCAAAACTTCATATTTTAAACTGGGACTCGGCGAGTTGGAGGCCCAACTCGTCGAGTAGGTTCGACTTCGGATCGGGGGGGGGGGGGGGGGTAAGTGACCTACTCGACGATTCGGGAGACCGACTCAGCGAGTAGGAGCTGTCCGAGTGAAACCCTAAATTTGAGGGTTTGCACCCTATTAAAAACTTTATGAGGTCTCCACCCCAGCCTCTATCACCTCCAAACCCTAGTCACGAAACCCTAATCAACTTTTGAGTGTTCTTGTGCTATTTTGTGCCATTCTTTGTGATTTGAAGTTTGAAGAAGGAAGGAAAGATTTGGAGATTCAAGAGAAGTCAGTAGAACCAGAGATTTGGTTGCATTTCCAGATTGTTGGAGGTAAAAAGCTCCAACCTTGACTTCTTATTTGTTAGATCTACTTTAGGGCTTGGATCTTGACATCTTTGGGGTATTTGTAAGCCATTTCGGGTTTAGAGTGTAATGTAGAGTAATGGCTTTAGATCTTGAACCTTGGAGGGTTCTCATGGCATAAAGGTGCCAACTTTATGGCCATGAGAGCCCCATGCATCTTGTAGACCTCATTTTTGGGTCTTTTGAGCTTAAAGACCCATGCATGGACGTAAAGTTCGTGACTTTACGTGTTATATCGACCCTAGGAGGTCAGATCTACCCTTCGGATGAGATGAGCTCAACGGAAATTGAGTTTATGGACATGGACTTTAGGGGACTCGGCGAGTCGGGTATTGGTTCCCCAACCTTTTCTGGTTCTGAGGAATCTGGTTGAGTCTAGAAGGGGACTCAACAAGATGGACATGATTATGGACCTGGAAATCATGGGACTCGGCGAGTGTATGAACAAACTCGGCGAGTCCAAGGCAATCTCCCAACCCATAAAGACGGACTCGACGAGTTGTTCATAGAATTCGGCGAGTCATAGACTGGACACATTCATATGATGAAAATGAACTCGACGAGTTCAAGGATGAACTCGGCGAGTCGGTTGAAGATGGTCTCGATGTTATGGTTGAAGGTGAACTCGTTGAGTTCTTGCTAGACTCGACGAGTAAAGTCGGGGGTTGTATCATTTTGAAAGAATAGGGACTCGACGAGTTGGTGGACCAACTCGGCGAGTCAAGTCAATTGGATGTTGACTTTGACCAAGTTGACTTTGACTTTGACCTGGATTTCAGTTGACCCTTGTAAAAGAGGGTTGTGGGTACGGATTAGTAATCAATGAGGGTTGTTGTGTAGGGATTGAGGAGTTGAGACGAGAGGTTTTCCGTACCAAGGATTGTGTAGACACTACGCGACATCGAGGTAAGTTACCTTCCAGTAGCAGTGGGCCTACGGCCACAATGTCGGCCCACTAGTAGGAGTTGTATGTTAGATGATTGTCTTTGTGATATTCATCTAGGTTTGCTACCTGATATGTTTATGTGCTAGCATGATATGATATATGTGATAGTGGTAGTAGGAGGGGAATAGTCCCCAAGTTCGGTTGTTAGGACCGAAGGGTAGGTTGGGCACCCCAGATATGTCTGACAGTATGATTATGTTATGATATGTGTGGTAGTAGTAGTAGTAGGGGTGAAATAGTCCCCGAAGTTCGGTTGTTAGGACCGAAGGGTAGGTCAGCATCCCAGAACTGCTTGACATGGGTAGGTCGGCGCCCCAGAATGGACGGACTGGGTAGGTCGGGCACGCCAGAATTGTTCGACAGTATGTATGTTGATCGGTATGTGGTATGATGGGGGAACTCTCTAAGCTTCGTTCTTAAAGTTTTCAGTTTTGTTTTAGGTACCTCTTCAGCGAAGGGGAAGGAGCCGACGCGGTAGCGGCACATCACACACATGCAAAATTTCCGCACTATGAGATTTCTTGGGATTGTACTATGACATTGTTACTATTTTATGACATGATTTTGAGACATGAGATTATGGTTTTATGAAATGATATGACTCAATTATGTTTCTTATAAATGTTTTCTAAATTGTTATATCAAAAATGAAATTTTTGGTCTTGAAATTTGGAATGTTACACAAATGTTAAACTAGTTCATATAATAAACATTTTAATCTTGAAAATCTTAAAGATGAGAGTGAAAGAGAAAAATGCATATGGTACATTTACAATAGTTTTAGGGTTAGAATATTAGATAAAGTAAAAAATTAAGGCATATTCATCTTGATTTTTTTTAAGTCAATCTTGACGCTTTAATCGAGTTTGGCTGAGTACCCAAGTTTTTCAGAGTTTGACCAATTCTGAATTATTTTGTCGAGTTTCTATTAATCGCCTCAATAAATGACTGAGTTTCGAGTAAACATCGAGTACTCAACCGAGTAGGTTGGGTTTCACAACACTGGATTTCAATATAAAATCAAAACATTTTCTCGAAATTTCGGAATTATTTATTTAATTTCGTATTTGTATTTGAAATTTCAGAATAGTTTTTTTTTCCTATCCAGAATCCGACTAAAATGTATTTTCTTTTGTCCAAAAAAAAAAAAACTTTTAGTGTGACGTACAATTAGTCTAAGATAGCCCGTAATACCCTAATCCAGACATGATTGTCATTTTTTTTTTCAAAACTTGAAATAATCGGCTATTTTGGGTTAATCACTTCATTTATAAGATTGAAAGGAGTGGTGTTTGTCATGCTACTCTCACCTCACTTTTGCCATATATTGTGTATGTGGCAATGGAGAAGAGAAAGAGTGACAAGAAATGAGAGAAAGAAAAAACAACGTGACAAGAAATGAGAGAAATAAAAAACAACGAAACAACAAAACGACAGATAAAAAAGAAAGAAACAACAAACCATTGCCAAAATTCTTATCACTTTGACATGCCATGAACTAGGGTGGTGTTTACCATGCCAAGTATGTTCCATCTCCGCCTTGCCGAGTTCCGTTCCCTCCTGATCTAATTTTAATTTTTAGAAATTATCTTTGTACATTTTATTCCTACTTATTCTCCTACTATATCAAATATTGGCATGTGTCACATTTAATGACATATTTAATAAAATTGATAATATTTTAGTCCACTTATCACCATTTAATTTGGGTAGGAGGATAATATGAATAAAATATAAGAGGATATTTAATTTCTCTTTTTGGAAACAACCTTTTAAATACCCATTCTTATTTTTTTTATTAATTTAAACAATTAAATAACTAACAATGATTAAAAAACTGATTTTTATTTTCCTTTCTATTGACTAAAAAATCGTCTATTTATTTTAAAAACGATCAAAATAATATCGTTTTTCTTTCTTTTATTTAAATAAAAGTAACATTTATATTAAATAAATATTTTTGTACTTTTCTTTTACTTTTTCTTTAAATAAGGAGGGTCGTAAAAGTTTTTGGGCTAGTTAAATTATGGGCTAAATATTCAAGAGCCCAATATTTGTTTCTTTATCATTTGATCTTTTCAATGAAGAGCCATGAGTTCCTTTCTTTTAACTTATCATCATAATTCATAAACAATTAAACCCAATGACATTTCATAATACTTTTACACATTTCACCGAGTTACCTAACAAATGAATCGGTTTATACTTATTTTTTAGATGTTAATAGTGGTTTAGGCGTGAAGAAGTGGTGTATACTTGGTGGACTGATACCTCAATTCTTTGTAGTTCTTTGTCTGATGTACATCACTGTGTGTTAACCCGCAAGTTTTTTTGTTTATTTATTTTTTAAACAACTAAATTTTATAAATGATAACATTTCATTAATTGAATAGAAAATTGCATCACTTAAAACATAACCTAGAATATGACTTAAACATAGGAAAAACATAACAAAATTGATAATTCTGGGAAAATCTCGTTGCAATGTGCATTATTGGTGTACAAATCCAGCATCACATTCACATTCACATGGGCAATGTACATTATTGGTGTAAGTAACATGGGTTTATTTTATATTATTTTATTTGTTTCTGTTAATGTTATTTTACTTGGTTTTTATTTGGTCCTTAGGGGATAGGGATATTTCAGAGTTGTATAACAAAGAAAAATTGGAATTCATACATCTTATTACTTACTACTAAATCGATTGTATCAACATCTTTACGATTCACAAGTATAAATAAACTATCCAAGTTATTTCAAGATAAACACCTGCAAATATCACATTTATTTGACCATGAAACACTCATATTTAAAATCAATAATACAACTTCATCATATCAAAAAAATTCATGATACAAAAATACTATTTTTAAAGGGTAACTGCCACATCATTAACTGGTCCCACAACAAAAACCAATGTGAGAGCAGTAATGCCCAAAAGTGGAAACGGAATCATATGGTCCCATATTCATCAATTAGATCGCAGATTTATAAGGATATTTTAGCGGAGAAAGATTGTGAACACGCTATATACATGTAAAAATGACCATAATGCCGCAATGCATATTTCTAACTATTGCTTTCTCTTTATAGATAACATCAACATAAAACAAGTAATAGCTACTTTCAACTACTTATATCTATATACCATAATACTGCATATAAGTTGAAGTCAAATATTACCATAAAGAAAGCAAAAAAGGAAAGGATTTTATCACTACAATTGAAGTACACAAAAAAGGGCCAAACCAAGTTCAGACATTCTGTCTTTTTCCGACTGGAATTGGAATTGGGAATTCCGACCTCAAGGTACTCCTATCACCACCTATTCCGGGCCAGATTTCCCAAGCTACAAACTTGATGGTTGTGTGTTGTTCACAAGTGACTTCTCTTCTTCAAAATCAAGATTTCCACCATTAACGACCATCAAGAAAACCCTTTACCAAGCTTCTGAATTGAACAGAACATTTTTCTTCGGGAGCCAACTGCATTTATCCCCATATCTTTAAGATCTTCTAATGTCAATAGAGGTAAAACCTCATCATCAACCTCATGTACCTCAAAAATTGGGGCGTAACGACCTAACCCTAATTGATTCAACCAAACCCTAACGCCATTCCTTTCTGGGTTGTTATTGTTCCAATTTCTTGCATCGGTATCAGAAGGACCATCTGAAACCCTAACCCTGGTTCCATCTCTAGATCTGTTACCATAATGCAAGTCTCTTTCGTTATCCATTGATAGATTCAAACTTGGCTCCTTCAATTGACTACCGGAACCTTCACGTTCATAATCTGTATATCGATCAACATCATCGAAATCATCTTCCTCTTCGAATTTCTCATCTCCATCGTTTGTCTTCGAAACCCAATTCGATCTGACGCGTTTTGTCGTCATCGAAAACCCCCTTTTCGATTTCGCAGAATCCCTAACTTTCCAACTACCAATCGCAACACAATCCAGAGGATTATTGTTATTACTATTACCTAGATTGTGATTACTCTTGTTTCCGCCATCTTTATCTTCGACTCCGATATCTAGGGTTTCTTGATATTCCATAGCGGCTCCGCCAGATAGGTTCATAAGCTGTCTGGTTTTTGAAGTTTTTGCTTCTTTTGAAGAATACCTCCATTGTTGCTGCTTGGTTCTTCTATGGTTATCGTAGGTGTGTTGATCTCCTATTTCACCTAATCTGACGCTGGGCCTGCGCTGTCGTTTAGTTGGACCGGGGACGGTTTCTGCCGGGGCACCCACAAGAGTGCCGCCGCCGCCACCACCTACGACGCCACCACTACCGCCATTAACCTGACCCTCCACCGGTGGTTGCACTTCAGCCATTTTCACCCGAAATAGAGAAGAAAATGTAAAATTTGGTGTTTTGAGAGAGAGAAAGAAGGTAATTTATGTCGATGACACGTTTGTATGCCGATGAAAGCGTGGCATCACATGTTATGCTGTCCATCTCACTCCTTTCATACATAGATAAACTAGGTAATAACTAGCGAGCATCACGATTAGAAATTAATTTTTTTTAATTAAATTGTACTTATTTATTTAAAATTAATATTAATAATTGATAATAATTACTGTAATGATTAAAGTTTACATGTTTTGCAATAATAAGATAACGACATAACTAATGGTTAAAAATACGAACCGGTAGTGGTATGAATATGCAATTGGCCTTTTGTATTTGTAGATATGCAAAAAAATTATAATTTTATGAAATGAAATATAAATTTAACAAAAAACAAATAACGAAATTTATATTAATAATAAAATTGTACAAATTTTTTTACAAATTTCTAAATACTTCTTTATACACAACATTAGAAGTTTTATTTGTTAGTCTACCATCTTTATCTAAAATCAACAATTTTAATCATTCTCTACTTTGAACTCTGGATAAAGCAACATACAATTGACCATGTGTGAAAACAGACTCTTTGAGGAACAAACCAACCTTCGATAGAGATTGTCCCTTGCTCTTATTAATTGTCATTGCAAAACACACAGCTAATGGAAATTGTCTTCTTTGGAATTTGAACGGGATCTTGTCTTCAGAAGGAGTTAAAAACATTCTTGGAATAAAAGTCCGGTTTCCAACATTACTTCCAGATAAGATAACTGCCTCAATAACACGTTTGCCCAGAGATTTAACCTGTAGTCTAGTCCCATTACATAAGCCATTTTTCTGATCAATGTTTCTCAATAACATAACTGGAACACCGACTTTTAAAATGAGTTTATGGTTTGGAAGACAATGAGACTTTAAGACCATTTAAAACATCAGGTGAGTATAAATTTGCATCAAACTCATCATGAACAAACTCGGATCGGCATAGACTATCTGAACTTAAGTATTCCTTTTTTTTTCTCCTGGAAACAATGACAGCAAACGATTGTTTATTTATTGGACAACTTCATTCTTGGGAGCTAGTATTGCTCTTTCTTGAAAATAATCAACAATGTTGAAGTTTTCCAGTATAGAAGGATATACAAAACTGATTAATGAACATATAGGATCATGTGGATTAGTAATAACAATATCCCGTGGAATATCAACAATTGCTTCACCGTCATTCGGACCACCAAGATTACCTTCTCCTCTGTCCAAAAGCCAAGCTGCAAAATCCCTTATTTGTTCAATAGCAGATGGATCGCTTCCAACAGTTAACCTCATGTTTTTTGTTAATTTATGAACTTTGCATTGTTGCCATAAATAAGAACTTAAATAAGCATTAATAATGTTTTGTCTACTGCCACCTGGAACAACATGTAGAATTTGTCTGAAATCACCTCCAAAAACAATCACATTCCCTCTAAATGGAATATTCGAATTCGCAGGATTGACACATTTTAATATATCCTTCAGAGTTTGATCTAAAGCTTCGAATGCATGTTTGTGTACCATGGGTGCTTCATCCCAAATGATCAATGAGGTTTTTCTTACTAAACTGGCAAGATCACTTTTTGGATTTATTGAACAAAAAGAATCCTCATTAAGATTTATGGGAATTATAAACCGAGAGTGTGATGTCCTACCTCCAGTCAATAATAATGAAGCTATCTCACTTGAAGCAATATTTAAAACAATCTGACCTTGAGCTCTAATTGCTGCAGAAATTTTCTTCCAAAGAAATGTCTTACCTGTTCCACCATAACCATAAACAAAGAATACACCTCCCTTATTATGTTTAACTGCATCCATGATATCAACAAAAATGTCTCGTTGCTCATTTGTTAATGCAACAAACAGCTGATCGAACTCGTTCTTTAAATTTGGTATGTCATAATCTAGCTCCTCGGTAATAAGACGATTGTTTGAAGATGAAACAGAATCAGCATCTGGGTAAGGCATCTTTCCATAATTTTTAAGGCTGGAATTGTTACGGAGTAAAATTTGTTCTATCTCAGACAAAGTAAAGTTTTTAAGTTGATCTTCGTTTAGTGATAAACCTATACGTAAAATAATATATTAGTTAGAACATAGAAAAAAACAAATTGATTAAAAAGTAAAATATAATTGGATTTATACTAAAATTTCATATGATAGTGTTTTAATAATAATGAGAAAATTTTAGATTAACTGGAGACTTTAATCTCTGTTGTTGATTGTAAAGAATTCCATCTGACAGGTATTCCCAGGTGTTTTGCCAAACAATCTCTGGTTTACACAAACTGTTGGACAATAGCATCGTAGCAAATAAGAACCGCAGATAAAAACCAGATCCAGAAAGACTTGCTTCCTTAATTGCATCGATAAATTCTTTGTTATCATCTAAAATGCCAAGATTATAACACACATCTTTAAAAGAAGAACATAGTTCACCATTGACTGTGCGAATTTCTTCGAATGATTTAGGACCTTTCACTTTATTTAAAAGAATTCTTAATAAATATGCTTCTCTAAGTTTAGGAGAAACCGAGTGAATTCTACCAATCGCATATCCAAGTTCCCTTGGCTTCCAAATCAGATCTTTACATTTCCAAACAAATTTTGTAAGAAATTCAACATATGTAAGTTTCCGTGCTTCTTTATTGATTGCATTACACTTCATCCAAGATTTGAACATTGAAGAAGCAATTGAAGGCGATCAAGAACATCTTCAATGTCATCGTCTGCCTCATATACAACTTGTTGTTGATCAGGAAGATGAAAAGGTAGTCTAATCACAGTAGGATGCCTATAATGAACATCGTATTTAAAAATCTGCCATGATGCTTTTCAATGCAGAAATATATCTACAATCATAGTATTCTTTAATTTCATCCACTGTATCGTTGTTATCAGAATCATTATTGGTCGGCTCCATAGAAAAGGTAGCTCTATCAGGACCCTTGTTTATATATTTAAACAAATATTTTATGGAAGATCCTTGATTGCACCATTCAACATTAATGTGTGCCTGATATCTTTTCAACAGATATTTGTTGTATGGAACAACATTTCTGTTATCTAACTGAACACCAGATTTTTCAACAAAATTCCCATCATCTCTTCTCCTATATAAGGGAAAACCATTTGAATCAACTGAAGTATGATTACAAAATTGCTTTCGAAAGTTTTTAGAACACTTTCTGTCAACCATGCATGGGCAATTCAAATTTTCAGCTCCACATGGACCGTGAATCATGAACTCCTTGACAAGTGAATACAATTCTGGATCATCATCGATATTTGGAATCTCAGCAGAAATAATGGGATCGATATATTCAACTGTAGGAAGCTTGCAGTCAGCATGCATAAATAGACATATATGACTATGAGGCAAACCTCTTTTTTGAAATTCAATTGTATAAACCACTGCATGCAAAATATACAAATAAACTACAAGTTAGCAAATAAAATTTTGTTTAAAATTATAAGTTTAACTATAAATATAAATATGTTTAGGAAAAATAAAAATTATTATATTTAAACTTATACATTAAACTATAAATTTAAATACCTGCTTGAACCTTGCCGAAAACTTCATTTTCCCTTAAATCTTTAATAAATGCATCCAACTTGATCTTAAACAACCTACATAATATATCCGGTCTATCTTCTGGATGAAGTGAAGTGTCCTTAAGAAACCTTTGAACTTCTGGCCATTTTGGATTACATGTAAAGGTTATGAAAAAATCAGGATATCCAAACCATTTACAGAGCGACATGGCATTCAAATAGTTTTGCATCATATAGCGTGCACCACCGGTAAATGAAGAAGGTAAGATCACACGTTGCCCGACGTTAGAAATATCTGTACTCCCAAGTGCTTTTTGATTACGCAAATTCTCATAAGATTCACATCTGAGAATTTTTTGTTGGTTACGTATGAAAAATAGTCTCTCACTTTCAATCATGGTATAACCATCAACCAAAAATTGTTGGAACAACCTTTTTGCATTAAGAATTAGTGAGAACGATTGATCCCTGTCTTGAATTCTGTAAGCGAAAAATTCTCTCATTGTACAGGTCGGGTGCTTGCTATTACTTGAAGATGAAATACCTCTGTGAAGAATGTCAACTCTGTAACCATCATCGCCATATGGAAATAGTAATGGATACTGAAGAGGAAGGTAAGAAGGATGCAATTCACTGATACATTGTAATAATCCTGATGAAGTTTGAACAACAATATCTCTTTTTTCAATTGAATCACAAATGTCACCGACAACTAAAGCAGCAACCTCAGAAGAACTTGGTAAGTTATACGTCCTTCCATCTTGTTCCCTTTTTCCAATTAATCTTAACTTCAAATTAGCAGAAGGATTTTCATGAAGAGTGTCTCTTACCATCCTATAAGACTTGACCAATGCATTTTTTGAATCTAACATATCCTTCAGAAATTCTATAATCTGGAGATCATATGATCTTGAAGTTGATGTAGAAGTGGTCGTTCATCCACTGAAAACATTATAAACAATTATTTAATGTTAGTAAAAAAAATCAATGAATTGAATTGATCTATTAGAGTTAATTGTAAAAATATACTCAATACTTGTTGATCTATTTGAAATCTTGTTCTCCGTATCATATATATATATATATATATATATATATATATATATATATATATATATATATATATATATATATATATATATATAAATGACAGAATTTCGGACTTGAACCAGGTGTAGGTAAAAGACTTTCCATACTATGATAATTTTGACCACCAAGTCTGAATATGTATGGTGCGTTGCCTCTGTTGATGGATAAATCAACTTTGCCTCCCATCGATGTAAATGAAAACATCGAATTGTAACGTCGAATATTCTTCATGAATTGTTTGCTTTTCGAATCTACCGATCTATACAGATTTCGGTATGATGGCGATGCCTCTTTTAAGGATGGTAGCTCAACTTTTCCGTAACCGCAACATAGGGAATAAGATGTATTGCCTTTTTTCTGCCCTCTAATCGATTCAGCTTTCCATAATTTTGCATGACAAATCTGACATATAACAATCTGGTCTCCATGATCCAAGTAATCTGTTGAATGCAAAAAATATAAAAAATAATAAAAAACAAAACTATAAAATAAAATTTAATAATATTAAAACTTTTAGAATTATGATCACCTTTGGATATACCGCATAAAATATCTTGAATAATAGGGTCATCAATATTTTCTTCATCTAATGTGAGATCAAACATAGGTATAGCGGATATAGATGGAGTCTTCCTTTTTAATTGATGTTTTCCTCTTGGTAACTTGACTGACGAAGAATTTTGGATTATTGTGGAACGATTGCATGATGTCGTGACATTACCAAACACAGAATTATCTTTGTTAATAGATAGTGGTGTTTGAATGTTATTATTGAATATATAACTGCCTCAAAGAAAAAACGTTAGCAATTGGTATTATTTATATAAAAGTGAAGCATATATTTTTAAATTGGTGTATTTAGAAATACATACCATTTGAAATGTTAGAAAGTGGAGTTCTAACATTTATATTTGTTGAAGGAAAATTTTGAATTATCGTCGAACGATTCGTGGATACCGTGGCAGTACCAAACACATACTTATCTTTGTTAGTAGATAGTGGTGTTTGAACGTTTTTGTTAAAAATATAATTTCCTGAAAAAATTAAAATTAAAATTAGAATGTTATAAATTGTTATGAATTATATAAATGTGAAGCATATATTTTTAAATTTGTGTATATGAAAACATACAATTTGAAATTGTTGAAAAGGGTGTTGTAACGTTTCTATTTGATGAAGTTGGATTAATAATTGTATGTTGATATACAGATGATTTGACAGAGTTTATATTTTCCTTGTCTAAGGTAACATCTGTATAGTTATCTCTAGATAAACTACGACCATGACTGTAGACATCTGTTATATAATGAGAAAAAATAGTTAGTAATAATAGAAATAATATTAATTATTAAAAAATAATAAATTAAAGAGGGTGGCAAATTTTATATACTTTTAATATTAAAAATTAAATTAAAAAAAAACAAATATAAATACCATTATTCGAATTGTAAGAAACATGTGTAACAGATGAATCTTGATAGAAAGATGTGGCAGGTAATATTTTGGATTTTTTATTATCCAAATATATTTTTCTAAATTTTCTCCTCTCTTTGGTGTTTGGAGGTTCTGTAGTATTATTTGAACCTGTAGAATAGTAGAAAACAATTTAAAGTCATATTGTCTGATATAAATGATAAATATATTTTATTTTAATTTAATTTTATTTTTTAAATAATAGTCAATAACATATTTAAAATACATAAATAAAACATATAATCAATGCAAAATAAATTAAGAAAATTACCGTATTGGGTACAATGAATAACATGTGTAGTAGGTGTACGATGAGACGATGATGTGGTGAATTGTTTTTTGGATTTTTTGTTATCCAAATATAACTTCCTGTTTTTTCTTCTCTCTCTAGCGTCTGTTGCATTCATGTCCTTGTTTGGTATGTAATGAAAAAAATGGAATATAGTTAAAAATAAGATTAATAATTTAAAACTAACTGTTACAGATGGTAGGTCATGTAATCATGTATAAAGTTGAATACATGAATTGATAAATAATGAAATAACAATAAAATTGTGTCCCGAACGGGTTAAACAATATTTATGTGATGATTATATTAACGGATTGGAATTTTGTATGAGTTTATCGAATATTAAATCTAGTTAGAAAAGCCCATTCCAGATCAATTTGTTAATTTCAATAATAATAATAATAATAATAATAATAATAATTTATAAAAACAACAAATAAAAGGGTTATAATCAGATAGTATTTTTTTATATTATAGGGAGTAAATAGAAACTTTGTCTTGGCATCTAACAAAATCGGTGCATCGGAAAAGAGAAAAGGAACATACAAGATGATACGATGGAGACCTTGTGCAGAATCGGAAGAACAGTGGTCGAAGGAGGATGGATTTCGTGCGATTACAGGGTGAAAACGGGAACTTTTAGCTAATAGTGAACCGACGAAAGGCTTCATTACATGCGATTTCAACAGGTAACAAATTAGGGCCTTTTTTTAGATGAAGATGCAAATTGGTTGAAATCGGGTGGAATACTTTGTCGTTATTAAATTTTGAGGTCATAACAGTTGTTTATGTATGTGAAAAAGTAAATCCCGAATATCTCTCTAAAAAATATTACTTCCCGCTAGTGTAATTTCATTTCGTATTTCAAACGTCCCGGTATTGTATTACCATTTTTAAAGGGGATTAGGAGAAGAGTGTGATGTTATATGGTATACATGTGTGTATGCAAATTACGAAAGGTAGAAAGTTTGATAAATCTGAGTAAATTCATGAATGGAATGAATTATGAATTCACTGTTTAACCATAAGTGAACAACCTTATCTATTCCAATTTTTTTTTGTCGGTAGTAGAAGAGAAACAATTAAAGACATGGTTGTGTACACAGGTTCAACAACCTTTTTCAGAATCTTCAAAATACTGAAAACCATTTTTTCTTCCAATTGAAGGATTTGACCAACAGTCAACATCTTTACATGTACTTTTTACTACATAAGTCACAGGGCAACTTCACTTAGAAGTTGCCCAGGTTGCTGTTATGAAAAAACATTGGAATAGATTGGCAGTCAACATCATTTTCTTCATTATTGGAGGGTAGTTTGGACTTTTGATAAATTTTCAGGATTTCATAATTATTGAAGATTATTTTGTATATTTTGAGAGAGCCATATTTGTTTTTATTTGATATTATAAAAAAAGACTAATGCTTTAGAATATCATATTATTTGCAGAGTTGGCTGGAACGATATTCAGAATCGCAAAATGTTCTTAACCTACAAAAGCCACATGCTTCTATTGAAGTGTTTAAAAATTATGGAATGCTACATTTGTTAGTAATGAGAATCAGGAAATTCTTATAACACATGTCCCCCTAGTCTGTAAATACGAAATCTTGTTTCAGGCTTTTTATTTTTTTATTGATCAAATTAACTTAAAGTATATGAACAAACATTGATTGATCTATAACTTATAGCACATGGCAATATCTTGTACCAAGAACAAACAATAAAACTGCCATATTTATTTTTTTAATATAAAATGATAATTATGCCCTTTTATATTATCTTATACAAATATTGGGTAATTCCTAATAAAGCATTATCCTTTTGCATATACTTACGTTTTTTTGTGGTTTGTCTTTTATTGTAAATATCTTCATGGTGTTGTAATTTTAAGTTTAGACCATTGTTAGCATTCTACATAGCATATTTAATGTTTTAAAAATTATAGCATTGTAAAAGTACATTGCTTCTCATATTTATATAATCTTATACCAAATAAGTTTTATGTATGGCAGTTATTTAGGCAAAGGGCAAAAATGTCAAATTCCTATAATAAGCAAAAGATAAAACAATTATAATTTCTTTGACATAGAAAAATTACAATTATGCCCTTTTCTATTAATGTTGCCATTTGTTTTCATTGTTTGTTTTTTGTTCGTCGTATGTGTACTTAAAAATGCGTAATAACTATTTAATTGTCTAATAACTATTTAAAAATACATCGATAAAGCCAAGCACAAAGTACTCGTGCAACTTCAAGATTGAACATATTTTTTTCATTTACCAGAAATAGCAATGTACATTTAATAATGTGTAATAACCATAATTGTAGAAGCAACTAACATGCATGCCATGTAAAAGTATAACTACTTGCAATAAGAAAAAACAATAAATATTTCCATCACCTAATAAAATACATAAATTTATTAGGAAAATAATACATTAATTAAATTATATTAACAACTTTTTTTTGGAAAATGATCAAATCAAAGTGTAGTCTCTTAACAGTATTATCTATTATAAAACTAATTCACGGCACAGACTAATACAATTTTCATCTCTTAACAATATTAAACAATAAATGATTTAACAAATTTTACTTAGTGCAAACCACACCTAAGTGCTTTGTCACTTTGTAACCATGTAATGATTTTACATAATAGCAGAAAGATACAGGTGAAACATTAAGAATTTTTTTTATAAGATAGATATGCAAAAAAAAATGTATAATCCATAATTTATTTAAGAAACCACTCAAACAAATAATGATGTTGAACAAATGTTTCAACCTTCTAAACCACGAATGTAAACAAAGAAAGTTTTTCAAACTTCCTATTAAAATTAAAACTCAGCAACAGTTTCACAATGTAACCTTGACAATTTCTTTACTTTGATCCAACACATCTGCATTAGTATTGAACTGAAATTTGTGTATTAAATCATCATGCTTACAAACTTGATTAAATGGAATGAATTTATTTGTATTCGAAGAGGTGTCAGGGGGATCATCTCCATCAAAACTGTTTTTATAAAAAAAAATTTATTAGTCATATAAAGGGTAATTATAGAAAAAAATGATAAAACATAAATTACCTTTGTTTGAAAACATTGATCTCATCAATGTCGGTGTTAATGAAAAGCTTTGTCACGGGAAAATATGTGTTAACTGTGGGTTGATCTAAACAAAATTGTATATGTGTTATTTAAATTGTTATAAATTAAAATATAATATGAAAATCAATTACCTCTCGAAACTTTAATCAACAATGTTATTTAAATTACTATAAAATAAAATATAATAAGAAAAATAAATACCTCTCCAAACTGTAAGCATCGCAAATTGAAGAATGACAATGATTCGAAGACCGTGTGGATTGTTATCAATAAATTCTTGCATTTCGTAGGCATAATGACCCCACAAAGTGACACGAATTTGTAAACCACTGAAAAAAAATGATTCAAATTAATTGAATTAATTATAATATATATATATATATATATATATATATATATATATATATATATGTTTGTGTGTGTGTATAAAACATACTTTGCATCTTGTATTTGGATGTTGAGTCTGTGTTTTTTCATATCAGAATTATCTCGCAACATGTCACCAAAAGCAACATCAATCCAATTACATCTATAAAAAAATAACAAAGAAGAACGAAACATTCTTGTGAATTTAAATATATAATATGTTAGTCAATTTTTTTTTGACAATAATTAAAATAAACTAACCGATAGCAATGTTTTGAGGATGTATCAATGAGATAATCGTTTGATAATCAACAAACTCAAAACCAAATGTATGTCTAGAAAAGTCATCACACTCCGTAATAACAGTGTTATGGACAAAAGTAAGTTTATGATGAAACCGATTTAACCTCAAACAACTTATCCTTTGTGATTCAAAGATTGGAAATTTTATGTAAAATGCATGACCATCCTTTATAATATGTTTGAATTTGTAGATGTTTTTTGTTGGGACAATTGCTTGGATCTTGTTTACCTAAACGAAGTTTGATATGAATTGGCATTTATAAGAAAATTATATTTTGTATCTACAAAGAAAAAATATTTTTAAATTTTCTAATTACGTGTTCATCTATTAAGATCATTTCAATTGAGTAAATTTCATCCTTCTTGTAGAAAGACATTTGATTCCACAAGTTTATGACACGAAGTTTGAAAGCCAAGTCATCCCTAGTTAAATCCACATCAGCTATAAAGGTGATGTTTTCTGCTGCCATTTATGTGAAAAAAGAATTAGAATAACAACTTCATAACAAATTGTTGTAAGATATTGAAACTAACTTTGCATATGAAAAGTAGTCAAAGTGTCATTATTTACTTGCATAAAGAAGTCCAAATTGCAAATTGTTAAAAGAAGTATACTTTTAAACTATATAACACAAAAGATCTTAAAGTTCACAATTAAAGAAAGGGGCAAAACAGTCATTTGTGAAAGTCAGATTGAGGAAAAAAAACTGCACCGCGAGTAAAAAAGTCTATCATGGGATCTTGATGTTTTGCCAAAATTGCTAAATTACAAAGACAAGGGCAAAATAGTCATTGGTGAAAGTCAAATTGAAGAGTTTCATATCATATGTAATCAATAGTAATTAATGTTTGCGGAAATGAAAATTTGAAAATCTATAAAGATGAAAATTGCAGTAAAATTAATTTTGTTTTCAAACTTAATTGAATGATGAAAGCATTATTGCCTACTTGTATAGGACAGCCCCACTTTCTTTCGTGAATATATATTTTCCTACCATTAGTTTGCAGGTTATAAACAAAATAGTCAATACAAAAAAAAAATAACAAAATATATTCACTGCTTCAACAGATACCTCCCTTCTCTCTCAATTATTAAGAATGGAGATGAAGATTTGGATAAGCACATATGTATTCTATGACAGGTAATTTTTCTGCTATCATAACTCATAAAACGATCATTTGTGAAAGTCATATCGACTTTAATGTATAGTGCAATATAAGATCTTAAAGTTCATTGCAAAGTAGTTTTAAAGTTCATTGCTATGATTGGTAAAACAGTCATATGTTTGTATTAAAAAAGACAAAAACAAATTATAAACATGAATATGATGCGAATAAAACACACAGAGAGCAACACATATAAATCGACATACTTGTTTCTAGGATGCTATATCAAATTTGTAACAGAAGGAGAAGAAGATAAAAATAAACAGAATAACAGAAAGTATGATTATTTTGTTTTACACTGACCTGATGGATTGAAATGTACGATAGAAGATGGTACTTTGCACTTTGCATAGATGAAGAAGCAGAAAGTCGTCAAAACATATAAAAATATTTAGGGGTTCGGTATTTATAAATGCAATGAATAGGAGAAGAGAATATTCTAATCGTGATTTAATTCCTAATTTGATGGCTATATATTTGGTAAAAGATCAATTAATTCAAAAGCATTGCTGATTATATGGGATATGAGGAGATATGAAATTGAAAATTGAAAATTTGTTTGAATTTGGATGAATATGGTAACCAAACAGCTGATTTTTAGGAGATGATATCCATTCCTGGAGTAGGAAATGGGCGGGAAAAGAAGTGAGAATAGAGGTAGAAGAATGACACGTGGATTGATGGGGGTTTAAGGATGGGACACGTGGCATTTAGGAAAGGAAGTACATGCTGGCATTTGATTGCAATATTGGACCTGTAAGACTATTAGGAATGTTTTATTTTTTGTTTTTTTTATAAAAATAAAACTGTGGTTTATATTTTTTTAATGTTATGAATTCAGGAGGCACCTTTCAATGCTGACAAGGTTTACATGGCTGTAATGACAAATTCAATGCAATGATGTACAAAAGCAATTCTCACACAGCAGATGGTAATATTAGACTATCTTCTACTGTGTTTGACGTGAATTGGGCTGAAACAAATATTAGATCGACAAAAGTGTATATTAAGGTATTAAAAATTAAAATGTAAGAAGATCATAATAGTTAACATTATTTTTTTGGGAATTGATCATCTTTTTTGAATTTGGCCTACAATTGGTGATATGATAGCAATATGCATCGTATTGTTTTTATTGCAGGTAATTTAATATATGAAATGGTGGATCTTGGGATCCGTTGGTGGATTTATGGTGTGAGTTACTGCACTGGACATAAGGTTAGATTTATGATCAATTTGTATTAATATTATCATAACAAAGTTAATAGAGAATTAGTGATATGATAGCAATATGCATCTTATTGTTTTTATTGCAGGTAATTTAACATATGAAATGGTGGATCTTGGGATCCGTTGGTGGATTGATGGTGTGAGTTACTGGACCTAAGGTTAGATTTATGATAATTTTGTATTAATATTATCATAACAAAGTTAATAAAGAATAAATGAACAGAAAAGTAACAATAAGAATAACCATAACGTAAAATTATAAAAGTATGATGCTATAACATGACAATAAAAAGTCAACATCAAACAACCATTTAAAAACAATCATAGGAAACAAATGTCTGAAGCATGAAAAACCATAACGTGAAAAATCCAGAAAAGAATAAATCAGTCATTTTTCTCCAGCTTTACTTTCAACAATTGTTTTCCTGGACCATCTGGAGATATTTTTAGAGTTTTGGTTGTAGATAAGTGATCATTTATCTCTAAATCGAAAACTTCTTCCAAATTTCGCTTTAAGACCGGTGTTGTGTTCAAAATATTCATTGGACTTGTTGTGTCGTTTTTCTCGATAGTGGAAGGAGTTATGTTATCGTCCGTGCCAGAAACTGCATCCTAAAAAAATATATAATTGTATAACATTATTATTGCTAAAATGAATTTATGTTTTAGAGAATATGTAAGAAATTTAAAATGTATTTAACCTTAAATTTTTTGATATCTTGAGATTGCAAATCGACCAATCAAACGATTGTGAATTAGAAGGCTGTATAATACAAAAAATAAACAATTAAATAATGTTCTAAAAAGTAAATGAATGTTTAAATAAAATACAAAAAAAAAATAAGTAAGTACATACCTGTGACTCGGTGAACTTATTTTCAAGTTGTTCGATTAAAGTCTCATCATCACTTATTCTAGCAATACCATATTGGTTGTTTTTGTTGGACACGTTGAATATTGTAACAGAAATTTTAAAGGCCAATTTCAAACCTTTCAATGCATTAATTTCCCCCGAATATAAACCAAGATCGTCTCCACGCTGCAATTAAAAACAATAAAAAAAACATTTTGTTTAAAGTGATAGCATATAACGAAGTTATATGATTATCATTAAATTTAAAATAAGACCTCAATCATTTTTTAACAAACTCCTTAGCTGACTGCTTCAACAGATACCTCCCTTCTCTCTCAAACATGGTTAAGGTTAGAGTTCCCATATTATCTTGCACGCGTATAGGAATCATAAACCTATAAAAAAATTGATAATAATATTAATATTGTGATAAACATGGAATATTAGATAGTTCATTACGATTCAAGTGTAAAGTAGCAACCTTGGAACAACCAAAGTGGTAGTTTATGTGCAATTTTCATTATGACATTCATAAGTATTTGTTTGATGAGCATCATTTTCACTTGCTTTACCAAAACAGTTGGTACATGCTTCATAATACCATTTTTGGTTTTGTAAAATTCCCTTTATAGTGCCCACGATAACGAAATTACATTTCTACAAAAAAGGTATGTATTTTAGATTAACATACATAAGACAACTGTAAATGAAATATATTATAATTATATAATACAAACATAACAAAAAACACAAAATATGGTAAAAATATTTAAAGAAACATATTAAATTGAAACAAACAATAACACATGAAATACCTCGACTGGTTCCCAAACCTCAGCGATACCCTTCAGGTTATTTTTTACCATAAAATCATCATATGCAGAATTTTGATTGGATGGAATAATCGAAAATGTATTTGTAGATGAATCGGGACGATCATCTCCATCCAAACTGTTATGTATGCAAAAAAAAGTAGTTACGCAAAGGATGTTATTGTACAATAAACAGAATAAAACATAAGTTACCTTTTGTTGAAATTGGTAATTTCATCTATGTCAGAGTTAATGAACAACTTGGAAGAGGTAAAGTAGGTGTTTACACTTGGACGATCTATAACAAAAATTTATATAATATTATTTTATTGAGGGCAACATAAATATTAATAACATAATATGAATACCTCACCAAACATTAATCTGACCAAACTGAAGAATAACAACGATGCGACGATTGTCTGGATTGTTATTTATATAATCAAGCATCTTGTACGCATATTCACCCCACAAATTGACATGAAGTTGCAAACCGCTGAAAAGCAATATATTTATAAAAAATGATATATTTAGATAACATAATTTAAAATTTATAAATTAGAAGATGTAAACATATAAGAAAATCAACTTTGCATCTTGGATGCGAATGTTCAGCCTGTGTTTTGATTTCTCTGGATCACCTTGTTGTATCTCAGCAATTGCAACAACCAAACCCATAACATCTATTAAACAAAAAATAGGCAAATTTATGTTATTTTTCTGTTAGGAAAATAGAATATTATATTTAAACATATAATGATATGTACTCACCAACAGATGTATCTTGAGGATGGGTCAATGATAACACGGCTTGATAATCAACAAATGAAAACCCAAACAGAGATCTAGAAAAATTGTTACACTCTGTAACAACAGTTTGTTGGACGAATGTGAATTTCTGATCATGAGGAGTTAACTTAAAACTACCCGTCTTCAATGCTGCAAAGTTTGGACCTTTGATGTAAAATGTCATCCCATCCTTTACTACATTTTTGAAGCGATATAAGTTTCGTTTGGATACCATTGCTTGGATTTTGTTCCCCTAACAATATTTAATACAATAAGAAAAAGTTATAAAGTAATTAAATTTAAGGAAATATGTGTAAGAAAAATATAAAAATAGTTTTTGTAACATACATGTTCATCCAGTAAGATCATTTCAATTGACCAAATTTCATTTTTGTTGTAGAAAGACATTTGATGCCACAGGTTTATGACACGAAGCTTGAAAGTCAAGTCATCCCTAGTTACATACATATCAGATATGAAGGTAATATTTGGTGCTGCCATTTATCTGCAAAAAAATGAGAAAAAATAAAAATTAATTAAATAAAAGACAAGATAAGCACATATGTATTCTATGACAGGTAATTTTTATGCTCTCCTAAGAAAGAATTAGAATAATAAAACTAAATTTTGTGTGTGACTTCATACTTCGGTGTCAATAAGAAATTTAGACTACTACAAATTGTTGTAAGATATTGAAACTGACTTTGCATATGAAAAGTAGTCAAAATGTCATTATTTACTTGCATAAATAAGTCCAAATTGCAAATTATTAAAAGAATTATACTTTTAAACTATATAAGACAAAAGAAAGCATTATTGCCAAAATTCTGTAACACTATTTCTTTTGTTTATATTCATACTTCCTTTTCATGGGATCTTGATGTTTTTCCAAAATTGCTAAATTACAAATAAAGGGGCAAAAAAGTCATTGGTGAATGTCAGATTGAAGAGTTCCATATCATATGTAATCAATATGAATAGTAAATAATGTTTGCGGAAATGAAATTCTGAAAATCTATAAATATGAAAATTGCAGTCAAATTAATTTTGTTTTCAAACTCAATTGAATGAAGAAAGCATTATTGCGTACTTGTATGGGACAGCCCCACTTTCTTTCATAAATATTTATTTTCCTACAATTAGTTTGCAGGTTATAAACAAAATAGTCAATAGAGAAAAAAAATATCAAAATATATTCACTGCCTCAACAGATACCTCCCTTTTATTTCAATTATTAAGAATGGAGATGGAGATTTGGATAAGCACATATGTATTCTATGACATGTATTTTTTTCTGCTATCATAAGTCTTTAATTTATTCAAATATGGTTCTGAATTATAATTATTTAAATATTATGGTGTAGCAAAACAGTCATTTGTGAAAGTCAGATTGAGGAAAAAAAACTACACCGCGAGTAAAAAATTATACACAATTAATTTATGTTCGACTTTAATGTATAGTGCAATATAAGATCTTAAAGTTCATTGCAAAGTAGTTTTAAAGTTCATTGCTATGATTGGTAAAACAATCATATGTTTGTATTAAAAAAGAAAAAAAAATAAGTATAAGCATGAATATGATGCGAATGAAACACACAGAGAGCAACACACATAGATCGACATAATTGTTTCTAGGATGCTATATGAAATTTGTAACAAAAGGAGAAGAAGACAGAAATAAACAGAATAAAAGAAAGTATGATTATTTTTTGATTTACACCAACCTGATGGATTGAAATGTAAGATAGAAGATGGTACTTTGCACTTTGCAGAGATGAAGAAGCAGAAAGTCGTCAAAACATATAAAAATATTTAGGGGTTTGGTATTTATAAATGCAATGAATACGAGAAGAGAATATTCTAATCGTGATTTAATTCCTAATTTGATGGCTATATATTTGGTAAAAGATCAATTAATTCAAAATCATTGCTGATTATATAGGATATGAGGAGATTTGAAATTCAAAATTCAAAATTTGTTTGAATGCAGGGACAATAACGTAATCAAAGAGCTGATTTTTAGGATATGATATACATTCGTGAAGTAGGAAATGGGCGGGAAAAGAAGTGAGAATAGAGGCAAAAGAATGACACGTGGATTGCTGGGGTTTAAGGAGGGGACAAGTGGTATTTAGGGGAGGCAATTATTAGGAATGGAGATATAAAAAAGAAATTTGATAAAAGTTTAAGTAAATTTATATAAAAGTCTTAAATTTTATTTTGTTAACAAAAAACTCTCAATCAACATAAAAAATTCAAAATAACTCTTTTTTTAAAAGTCTCGTTATTTGGTCCTATTAATGAAAAAATTATAATTTTTTTATTTAAACTCTTACCCTTTCACTAAAAATTTACAATTTTTTTGGTTAAAATTTTGAAAAAAAATAAACGTCATTAAACTCCATAAAACTAAATATTAAATACCTTTATAACCAAATATTTGCCACAAAATAATGACGTTAGCATTATTTTGAACTCATTATCGTTTATATAATCTATTTCCCATACAAATTTATGTTACAGATATTATATGATATTCAAATTATGTGTTGAACACCTTACATTAATCTACCTAAAAATATGTTAACAGAAAACCAACTGTTATGTTCATATGAGAAACCATTAACTGATGACAAATCAATCTTTATAATAGTAGGTTAGGTGACGTTGTATGGATTATAGAAAAAAATATGAATTTTATCCTTAAGTCTAAGCATATATAAACAATTCCTCCATAGATTAGTTACTTTATAAACATAAAGTAATTGATCCATGGATGAATTGTAAATAATTAATCCATGGATTAATTACTTTATGGGAAATGGATTATACGAACATGATGAGTTCAAAATTATGCTAACATCATTGTTTTGTGGCAAATAATTGGTTATACAAGTCTTTAATCCTTAGTTTTATGAAGATTAATGACATTTATTCTTATTCATATTTTTTAACAATAAATTTTTAGATTTTTAGTGAAAGGGTAAAAGAGTTGAAATAAAAATAATTATGATTTTTTCATAAACTTAGCAAAAATTTGGGACTTTTCTGAAGGTAACCGGGTAAAAAACAGTTTACCGATAAAAAATGTTGATTTAAATTTTTTATCCGGTAACCGGGACTTTTTTTTAACAAAATAAAATTTTGGACTTGCATAAACTGGCCCATATTATTTGGATTTTTTTGGAGATTTTCCCAATATAAAATGACTTAAAAAGAACAATTAATTAATGTAATAGTTTTTTAAATGGTCAATGTATGAAATAAGTCAATTCATGTGATATTATTTTTTTGGTAATTTACATGAATCGTCTCTTGTGCAGGAATAAAAATGTACATTTAGTCTCTATTTTTAAAAATTAACTCGGACCGTCCATTGTTTGTTTAAAACGTGCATACTTCATCACTCGTTAGTTTAAATTTGCATGTTGCATCATTTACCAAACATAAAATGACTTATCCTCACTATTTTATTTTAAATTTAATTATATTTTTTTTACATTTTAAAAAAATAGAAAAAATAAATTCCAACCCTATCATACACCCTACTCCAACCTAAAATCCTAACCTAATATACAATTATCTCTCATTTTCATTGTTCATCTCACAAAAAAATTACTAACACCGCCACTGCCTTTCCACCACCGTCGAACCATCATCACCGGAGAACCGCCTATCATCATCGTCAGAGTACCACTCGCTACCATTTTCATCATAACCACTGCCTCTTTCTTTCTATCTTTCTTTTTTTCTTTCTTTCTCTTTCTCTATCTCTCTCTCTCTCTCTCTCTCTCTCTCTCTCTCTCTCTCTCTCCCCTCCCCTTCCTCTCCGATCTGATACCCCCTTATCTCATATCTAAGATCTTCGTCGAGGATGGTTTCAAACCGTCGAGTAGGGTTTCAAATAGGGTTTCAAATGACAACAATGAAGCAAGCAACCGTCGGGACTGTAATCCCGCAGATTTGGGCTAGTCAATTTAGAGACAATAAGTGTCAAAATGACATTTTTATGGAAGATTATTTATAATAAATAATCTTAACCAAGCTATAGTATATGTCACAATGGTTTCGTACATATAAAGAACGCCGAAATCCGAGTTATAACGAAGAAGTTATGACATGTCGAAGTTTCGCGACAAAACCGACACAACACCGGGAATCGTAAAAAGTGAGTTTACGATAAAGTTTTTTTTCCTTAGTGATCTAAACAAAAGTTGTAGCGTACGTCTCCACCTACGCATAGATATAGAGAACGTCAAAAACGGAGCTCGTATGCAAAAGTTATGATCTTCCGAAGATGTAGTTGTCTGAGGGCATGATACGTGGCAAAAACCATAACCGCCTTAAGACCACGATGTAAACATTAAGTCCACGACGTGAAGTTAGTCAAGGACACTAATCGAGGCTAGAAAACACATGCTAAGTCTACGCGAGTGATGTGTTAAGATTTCCACGACGTAGATATAGAGGTCACGACGTGGAAATGTCATCCGGACACCTTTCAGAGCTAGAACGCAGATGGAAAGCCTACGAAGTAATTCATCCATGCGCCACGATGTGAACATGTCATGTCCATGACGTGGAAATGTTTTGGGCAGCCTATAAATAGCAAGTTCGACCCTTGCTCTTCTTACACCTAAACCTTCTTTCTCTTTCTCGTTTGTTGAAGGCGTTCCTTATCCCGAGCCCGACGATCACGAACCGCTAAACGTTTCTAGTTAGATTCTATCAAATCACGCAACTAAAGTGAGTGCATAGTTACTTTCATCTTACACATAGATATGAAGTATTTTAATATAAATTATGTGCAATGTGTGCATATTATCTGTGTTCTTGATATCTATGCTGGATGAACAATTTTATACATGTTTTAAATGATTTAAACTGTATATGTATTTTATATCAACAAATATGTTGGGTAAAACATGGGTAGATGAATTAGACGATGTGTGATTGATGAGAGGTCTCGATGTTTAAGATAATCTAGTAATCTAGCAGAATATAGACAACGACCACAGACTATTCTAGACAGTCCATTGGAACGTTAGAAGGCTTGTAACCTGTAGGTGTTTTTGAACTAGGTGTTCATTAAGTATTTTTGAACTAAGTGTTCACTAGGTATTTTTGAACTAAGTGTTCACCAGATGTTTTAAACTGCGTGTTCACCGGTTGTAATCTATAACCCTGGCAGCGATGAACTTCGTGCCTATTCCTTAGGACAATCCTTAGGAATGAATGAATGAATGATAGATGGTTCTTAGGGCAGATCCTTAAGATAAGGGGGGCATATATTTGGGTTAATTGTTTGATGATGAAACATAATAACTTTATTATTGTGGGTTGAAAACCCTATGTACTCACCAGGTTTCCCAACCTGACCCACTCAGTTTATTTGTATCACATGTATCGATATGATGACAAATTACACTGAGAGATTTAAAAGGAGATGTAAATCACTAGTGTAAATGAATGTAAGGTCTGTTTATGTTTATGGTTTGTAT